AGTGGATATGAAGATGATGAATGCAAGCAGAGATTTACAATATATAAATAGTTCAGAAATGATGTTCATACGAAAAGGCCCTTTATTGTGTGATAAACTGCTAGAAATTTTACAGATCCCTATTCTCCCCTTCTTTAATTGTAGACCACCTACATTCATCTGGAAAACACATTTTTTCAGTCCTTGGGGCTTCGAGTTAGGTTAAGTCATATGCCTGAATTCTGGCCACATGTGACTGAATTCTAGCCAATAGGATATAAGCAGAAATGATATGTGCCACTTCTGCTTGGAAGAGGAATGTTCTTTCTCCTTTACAATGGCTGGAAAGCAGATATGACGATGGGAAGTAGAAGTGGATATGGAAGCCAAGGGATGAAGATTTCAGCGTTTTGCTGCCCCTGGGAGGTTACTGTGAGAAAGGAAAACCCTGCATCACAGTGATATTTTTTCAACTACTTAGACTATGAGCTAGGTGATACTACTTACTCTTTCATTTATTCTCATCGAACTGTCAAGTGCTTTGTTCAAATCAAGCCTCATGCTAGATTGTAGAGCTGGAGTTGAAGTTCCTGCCTCATTGAAAGCAAAGCTGTAACTTAGAGTATTTAATTCCTGGCTAGTTAGGGGTTAATCTGATCAGTTTGGGAGGGTGCCCAAACAGGAGCAGAGAATGAAGGAGACTAACATACAGACTGTGCTCCTGCGTTGCGGAATATCTGGGGGTTTTGTTTTGTTTAACCCTGAACAGTATCAGGTTGTTTATTCATTCAATTAATATTTGAGAGATGTTATATGTCAAGTTGAGGATAAATAGGATAAAACAAAAGCAATTTTCCTGATAGTTTTTCATTTTGGTTAATGGATATACCTAACAAGGTAAATAAAATGCATAGTAAATTTACTGGTGAATTCTGAGGAAAAGGAGGTGTCAGGGTGAGAGAGGAGAGTAATTGCAATTTTAGGCATAGCGCCCAGGAATGTCTAATTAGAAGCTAATGTTTAAGTGCAGAAAAAGGTAAGGTGATATGTGAAGTAGATTAAACAGATTTCTTATTCAAGGCAATTGACAAGCATGTGGATGATATTGCTAAGGTCTGTGCTTTGCAATGGGAAAAAGAGTATTTCACGCAGAAATAGCTAAAGGTACAACTTTTAAAAATTGCATGTTCTTTAGTCTCTTCAGGAGATAACAGTAATACTTGAGGTGTTGCATAGATGGAGACAGGAAATGTTACTTGCTGACAACTTTGTGGATTACCGCCCCAGGAATCTGACTACTTGGAAGACCAATAAGTAAGGAAGAATTCAAGTCAATATTTCATCTGATAAAATTTTTGTTTAAGGTGGAAAATCAAAGGAGATATGTTCAGATGAAGAATATACAGATAAAGCTCTAGCACTGTTTTCCCACCATGTTGCTTTCAACAAATACCAAGTACCTGTTTTGTGGTTAAAACATAGTTTCTCAAAAAACAGTGAAAAGAAGATTTTGTCCCCGACTTCATATAACTTACATATTAGTAGGAAGAAAAGACATTAGGCTTATAATTGCATTGTCATTTAATAGCTATGATTACAGAGATGATTTGGGGCTATTAGAGATTTTAGGAAAGTCCTTTTTGAGGAAGAAAGATTTAAGTAGAGTTCTAGAGGATGAAAAGGCATTAGCCAAAGGAAGGTGAAAGAAAACATCTTAGGCAAGGGAACTTAAGGACCAAGAAGGCCACTGTCACTGTAGCCTGGAGTACAAGAGGGATGTGAGGAGATGTGGGTGGGGCCAGATGATTCTAGGCCTCACAGGCTAAGGTTAGGGTTTTGTTTTTAATCACAAGTACTAGGAAAAACCATTAGAGTGGAGGCTGTTGGAGGCAGAGACCATGATCAGATGTGTGTTTTGATTGGAGACATAAAAGTGAATGTAGGGCTTTGAGGTAGGGTGGTGATGGTGGAGACGGTGTGGATTTGATAGGGTAGAATGGAGTGCAGGTGATGATTGCATATGGGAGGATGCAGAAGAGGTTGGCGTTAAGAATGACAACCATGCTTTTTTTTTTTTCTCTCTCTCCTTTGGGCAGTCATATGTTGCAATTTATTGAAATTGAGAAGACTGAAGGAGCATCTAATTAAGAAAGATGAAGAGTTTTAGACTTGTTGAGTCTGAGGTTTCCTGTGAGATAGCCAATAGAGATATTGAGTGGGCTTGTGTAGCAAGAGTCATCTGAAAAGCGACTGAAGCCATGAGAATGGATGAGATCCAGAAGAGATCTCCAACTCTGGGCACAGTGGCTGTGCAGTGGCAGGCCTCTGTACTGTCTTGTGATAGCACTTTCCTGAAAAAGGACTGCAAGTCACTGATGGAAAGCAGTTACTGTTTGTACTGCTGCAAGCGCTTCTAAAATGGTCATCCTGGTTAATGATGATTGCTCACATTCAGAGCACTTCCTGTATATCAAACATGAGTTAACACTTCACCTACAATGTCTCACTCAGTGTTGAAAATCCTATGAGGCAGTTAGTATTATTATCTCCATTTTACAGCTGAAGAAACAGGTTAGCAGAAATTCAGAAACATGATGGAGGCCTAGAGTAGATGGTCAAGCTCAGGTCACCTGGTCTCAGGAATAAGCCTTTTGCCTCTCCCTAGTTCCTAGTATCTACAATCACTTTGCTGTTTCAATTTCCAACCTCTCACCCACCCATCACTTATCAAAAATGTCTTCTCTTTAACCTCCTTGCCTGCTTGTAGTGGCTGTATCAGAGGAGCCCAGATACCTATGGCAACTCTATTCCTATTTTTAACTTGCCATCCCCAACTGCCTAAAGATGGTTCCAAGGCATCCTGGAATTATTAGGGTAGCGAAAGGCAGGAGAGTGTGTGTTCAGATCTATGTCCCAAATAGCCATCTATCTTAACTTGAGTTACCAGAACAAAATACCATACACTGGGTGGCTTAAACAACAGAAATTTAATTTTTACAGTTCTCGAAGCAAGTCTAAGATCACAATTCTGGCTGATTTAGTTTCTGAGGCCAATTTTCCTGGTTTACAAATGGCCAACATCTCACTATGTTCTGTCTCACTATGTCCCAGGTTTCATAAGGACACTAATCCTATAGGATCATGGCCCCATCCTATGACAATATGTGATCTTAATTAATATAGTTGTTTTTGGAGTTGGGGTTTCAACATAGGAATTTTGGAAGAACATTTGTATTCTTTTGGTCCATAACATGGTCTGAATGTGTCATCACTACATTGTATTTCATTAACTCTGCATATTAATGGAGGGCAGACATGAACTTGGCCATGTCACTTGTTTAGGGGAGAATCAAAGGCTGGATCCAATGTGAGGAAAAACCCACTGCCACTCAGCTAGTCCAACACTATCCTAGAAAAGGAAATTAAGTTACTCAGGTTCATAGTGCTGGCAAACAGCACTTACAAACCCAGCTTGCTTTCTAGATTCAAGCTCTATGCAAGTCCAATTACCCAGGAATTTATTTCTTCATTTGAAGTGGCCAAGCCTTTGCTGAGGTGGCTGGGGTCACTGCAACGCAACAGAGATATCAGATACCTTCCAAATTGTATACATCTTAGCACTTTTTGGTTTACTTTAAGGAATCCCAAGAGTCTCCTGGATCACTCTGATTCTGGCTGAGAATGGTCTAGGAACTACAAGGGATTTCTAAGCCACTGAATCCTTTCTCCCATGAAAGAACCAGCTGTTGCATTTGTTTGTGGTCATAAAAGGCAGTGGGCTTTTGTGAGACTGCATCATGTTTGGGGTTCAGCTTTTCCCATCAGTAGTGCTGCCTCAAGTCTGCAGCTCAATTATAACGATAGCTTACACTTGAGTGGTCACTTTGTACAAGCATTGTGCTAGCATGTCACATTGGTCATACTGCTTAATATTCAACCCTGTAGAACTAGATAGTATAATATCCATTTCACAGCTGAGGAAACAAGCTCAGGTTAAATAATTTGCTCAAGGTCACGTAGCTATTCGGAGATGAAGCTGGAATCTAAAGCTAGACGGTTAGACTCTAGAGCTTGTCTTCTGACCATCTTTCATACTACCTTCAAGTATGCGATATGGTGGAAGAACGTCCTGTTCATACATTAGTCTTCTACCTCTCATAATCCCAGATCAAGGCTGAAGGATCCCCCAGATCAATAGCATGTGCTTTTGGTACACCAGCCAGGGGATTGTATTTTGTACATTTTTTCCCATCTAGTCCTCTCTGCAACCAAAGTTGGTGCAAATGAACTGGGTCACCCTTACTGTAGACTGGAGAAATTTGGATATGGTTCCAAAGACTAAGCTATGGTGCTCTGTAAGATGACCGCAGAATTAGGGTTCTTGGTTTCTATTACACTTCTCCATTGCTTCCCACAATAGGAACCTGGGGAGAATTTTGTGCTGAGAAGTGGTGATGGGAGCCCTGGCTATTCTTTTCTGCACCCCAAGCTTGGCCTTCAGAATGTTTCAATGTCTGACAACCCTTATAAATGTTGCAGAATTGCATGGCTATATGAATCTGGCAGGGACAAGAGTCCTTATCTTGTTCCAATTCTCAAAGCCCAGTGACCCTAAATGTTTTTGAATTACTGAATTAGATAATCTGTAATTTTTTTTCAGTCAAAACTTCTCTAAGTTCTAGTGTCACATTGAGCCAGATGACTCCCAAAAATATTTAATAAAAAGAAAGACTCCTTAGAATAAGGCTAACTTTGAAACTGGTCAAGGTTATCACAAAGTTCTCTATTCCCTTTAGATTCTTTGAAATTCTTTCTCCTGGAGGGATTTAGTCATCATTTCTTTCCTGTGGGGTTCTCCAGGGCAAGTTCCTGTCTACACCGGAGGAAGTGCCAGAGTGCTGCCCTCTCTACCTGATCTTTAAGCCTTTCTGGTCAGAATGGCTCTTGGGAGGCTTCAGGTCCAGGGAGCAAAGGAGAGGATGGCGGGTGGAAGGAACTGCCCGCAGAGAGTCTCCAGGGAGTCCTTTTAAAAAGAATTTATTCAGCAGGTCAGGCAGCAATTTTCCCTAGAGATCGTTCTGAAAAAACTTCCCAGAGCAAGTAACTGGGGAAAGCTAGAGAGGAGGAGGAGGTTATTATTAAACTGACCTGGGCCACAGCGGGCGGGAAGGCGGATCAAACTTGGGTCTCTTCCTGCTCAGATGGACCAGCCCTTATTCCCTTTCCCATAGCGGCGCAACCAATAACCAGAGTGTTCTCAGCGCTTGGGTCTAATTCGGTGAGTTTTTATTGTAGAAATGTGGCTCATGGAGATGTGAGATGCTGATCCCCACAGTCGCGCCCTGCAAGTGAGACTGCACCTCTCCACCGAACCCCTCTCCATCTTTGCCCGCAGAAGGAATTGGCTATTTGGACTTAGGCGGGACCCACTGAAACTCGGGCGTCGTGTCATTTCCCTAAGGGGACGCAGTCTCTATGAACATCATTCCAAGGTCCGGCTGAGTTCACGCTAGGATACTAGTGGGATCCTCAGTGCCAAGGAGCAAGAAAGGCGGTAGCATCTTTGGGGAGACAGCCACAGGGCCAGGGAGTCGGGACGGGCAGCTCCTGGCTAATTGTGCGCTGGCGGTTCCTGCCCCTTCTGTGGCAAAGTAAGGAATTCAACCCGTGGCAGGCAAGGCTTCTGAGCCCAGGTGGCACACTGTCTTTCAGGATGGTTCCCCGACTGGACCTTCTGTTTAGGGGAAGAAAGACACCCTTTCAGGTACTGAGCTAGGGATCCTGTGCAGCCTCCTAACGTCTCCATCCCTTTTTACTTTCCGGTTGCCTATCTACGTGGGAAAAGGTCTGAGCAAAGTGTTTCCAGGGACCAGCAACCTCCGATGTCAATCCCGCTCTGCCGGGTTCATACTGGAGTGTCTTGGGGAGGCCAGGACGCGGCACCCGGCGGCCTTGGCTTAGTTCAAAGCTACACCGGCCGCGTCTTCCAGGGAGCACGGGCGTCGCGCAGCGAACGGTCGTGGGGCAGCGCGGCGAAGGCCGAGTGGCGCAGCTGGCAGCCGATGAAGAGGACGACCAGCGCCACGGAAAGCAGCAGCAGGAAGAAGAGCAGCAGGTAGGTGGGCAGGTCAGGCTTTGTGGCGGTGCCATCCCTCATACCGCGCGCGGTGGCCAGCTCCAGAGGCAAAGCGCCCTCTGCTTTGACGGTGGCTCCTGGAGCCAGAGCACCACCGACCGCCGCCTCCGGGCCGCCCGTGGCGTTGAACACGTCTCCGTACATGGCCCGCGGGTCCCGGCGACCCCAGTAGGACCTCCTCACTTGGCCTCGCGCTGACCTGAGCTAGCCAGTGCTTCCATGGAGCCCTCCTCCCGCCCTGTGCGCAACTGACCGGGAGAGTCGGTGCCTTCCGACCAGAGAGGAAAGCACAGATCCCGGGACCCTCCGCTCACTCTCCTAGGTGCTCGTCTGCCTTTGCCACGCCGAGGTGGACCTCTGCCCTCGGAGCTGCACAGCTTGGTGCCTGCGCCCTTCAAGCTTTCCCTGTTTATCGCTGTTGCCAGCAAGAGGTCCCAAGTCTCTGACTGTCTCACGGTTTCACAGCCGCTCTCTCGGCTCCGACCCTCAGCTTGGGGGAGCTCCAGGTTCCAGGGGCGCGTCTGGGCTGCAGCGACTGTGAGAGGTGCTGAGTGAGTGCTGCCGCAGCTCCGCACTGGACGCAGAGTGCACCGAGGGCGGGTGGCGCGGAGTCCTCCGAGTCAGTCCTCTGGCGCTGGCGCCACCGCCGCGGCAGCTATCAAGGCAGTCCTGCAGTCCCGGGTCCTTGTGGAGACGACCCGGTGTGTGTGGCCAGCTTGTCCTCACTCCCTCTGGCTGCTAGGCTGTTTGAGCTGGAGATAGCTCTGAGGCAGCTCTGGGCGCGCTTTGGTCCCGGGCGGGGGGAGGGGGCGGGATTGGTGGGGGCTGCCCCTTGGGAGAAGCTGCGAACCAATGAGGGCGAGGAAGGACACGGCTGTGACTGCCCACTGCCCGCCTCACATCACTCAGGAGCAGAGGATACCAAAGAGCAAGGAAGCTGAGCTGGGGCGGGGGAGGGTTGGTGTGGGGGGCAGAGGGGGGCCCTCTAGCAAGCGCGCCCATAGGGTCACAGAAAGATGGAGGGTCAAAGACACAGCTACAGACCTACGAACAGAGCCACAGGGAAAACTGACAGTTCAGCAATGCAAACTCAGAAACAAGGTTTAGCAGAGCATGGACACCAGCTTTGTTCATTTGATGTCTTCTTTCCAGGCAGAGCCGGTTTGGGTGAAGCCCCCACTGGCTGCTGGATAGCTTAGGCAGGGCACACCCCAGTAAAGGAACAGACCTTTGTTCAAACTGGAGCCTGTGAGTAAGTGTGCTTCTCCACTAGGAGCTCACTTGCTCAACAGCATTTGCAGTCCTGCTAAAAAATAGAGGAGTAAGAGGAGGACATGGTGCTGGCCATGACCCACCCACTTTGGGAAGCCCTGGAAAGGACTGGTGGTCAGGACAGAGGTGAGCAGTCAGTTGGACTGGGAGTGGGGAAGTCCCCTTTTCCAGGACTCCAAACTCCTCACTTCCTGCTAGAAACTTTCTAAACCCCCAGCCAGAAGGTGAACCCTGTCCTGGTCCACCATGGATCCTGTGCTTCTTCTTTGTAAGCCCTGGAGATCATTGTCCAGCAAGATCAAAACCGGAGGCAGTAGGTAAGAAGCCTAAGGAACCAATCTAAAGGAGACTCTTGCTTTCAGGTTCCTGCAAGGTCAGGGCCAGGAGCAGGTATCTCCTTCAGGTTTACACCCTAGTTGTCCCATGCCTCAGTGTAATCATAGCCCTGTTGCCTGGTCACTTGTCTGAGACCCTCACTGGATCAGCCAAGTTCACATCTGTGTCTCTCTGCCCCTTTCTTCTTCCTCTAGGGAAAGTACCTGGGGAGAGCTTGGTGACATTCGCTGAATGACGAAGAGATGAATTACTTATTCCCCTCTCCCCTCTGCATTTTGTGCCAGGTCACCAGTACAGTAAGAACCACCAAGTTGTTCCAGGCCACAGCTCATCCTCACAAATCCCTGTGATACCCAGAAGATACCTCTGTGAGCTCTTCATCTGTCTTTAAAACTGTAGTCCCAAGTACTGACTTTAGAGTGTTTGGCTGCTGAACAAGATGCAAAAAAATTGCTCCAAGAGGCTCTTTGTAGTGTTTTCCATTTAATTCCATGGGTAGGTCCCTGAGGGCCTCCCCAGCCAGGGTGGCATTGCAAGGAGGGCAGGACCCAGCAGAACTCAGCATGGCCCCATCTGCTCAGTCACCAACCCAGACAGAGCCTACCTTGGTCCTGGAAAGCTGCTGGCTCTACTCTTGGCTACTGCTTAGGTCAACACCTCAGTTTTGGAATGAGAAAACTGGCTCTGAGAGGGGACAGGCCTTATCCTTATTAGCACAGGACAGTTACCATGTAACACTGATGTGGTAGCAGCAATAGTTATGGGCAGGAGTCCCTTTCTCTAAATATCTGACCTATTTAGACACTCAAACAGCAGGATCCTACAGGAAATTTTGTAAAACCAGAGCAGGCCTCATTGGCTCTTTCAACAATGGGGAGCAATAGTATATGGGCCATATATGGAAAAGGATTACAAACTCAGTGACTTCTGGGTCCTAGTTTGAATGCAGAGCTTGAGTAGCTTGGTTTGGGGGTTGGCCTGGATTTTTCTCCTGGAGTCTATATGGGTAGTAACAAGGCCCTTTTCCCTACTTCTTTTCAACTCCTTCCATGATACCCAGATAAGAACTGGATGGCACAGTTGGAAGGTCCAGATGGAACCTGTGCAGGCCTCAACTCATTGTGGACTATTGAACAAGGAGTGAAGGTAGTTGACTTCCAGTTCTGCTCTGGAACAAGCTGTGATCATCCAGGAAATGATTGTGGAACAGGGAGTCTGCAGAGGATTTGGTGTAGATGGGCATCCCTGCAGTTCCACAATCTCTGAGCCTGGGGGTTCCTAACACTGCTCATTGCTTCCCCACAGCTGCTTTTCATCCCCATGCTGCATCCGGGAATGGAGGAGCTGAGGCTTGAACCTGAGCTTCCCCAGTTCTAGAGTTCATGCACTTGACCACTATGATGAACCCTCCATGAAGGAGCAGTTCTGGTAGATGCTATTCATGACCCTTTTACCATAAACAGAGCACCAGGCTTCAGAATTCATCTTTTCCCCTCTAGCAGCCTCTGAAGGCACTGCTATCATTCCCACTTTCCCCAGGAGGAAGCTGGAACCCCAAGAAGTGTTGTTACTTGGCAAGCTCATGGAGTTTGGTGGTGGAGCAAGCAAGCCACAAACTTGCAGCCTGTGCTCATTCACTCAGTCTTAGCTGCTTTTTCTCCTGAGGAAGAATGTGTGGTCAAAATGCCTTTTCTTTTGGCAAAGTTGGAGGAATTTGGAGGGGTGGTGTCTTTTGGTCCTGAAGAAGGGAGGGCACAATTTATTTTTTGAAAGATATTCAGAGCCCTGAGAGGGCAGTCACGTTCCCTGCACATCCCTGGCAGGAAATTAAACAAGGCCAGTACTGAGTAAATGCAGAGATGAAGTTTACACAGCTTTTTATACAAACCAAGCGACCTTCCATTAAGGGAGCATTGTGTACTCATACATTTAAGTCTTTGGAAAGATTATAAAAGGGGGCTCAGAGGTCAGCTTTGACAGGCAGAGGTCACAGGCCTGGGACCTTAGAGCCACCTCTTTCCCATTACGTAGTTGTTGAGTGACACACACGTGCCTTCCTAGTCTGCCTGTCTGAGAGCAGCCCAGGGAAGCAATGCAAGGGCGCTTTCCTGCCACATGAGAGCCATTTGGCAGCTGTTGAGTGGAAACTTTGGAGACAGACAGGGAGCATTGGAGCCCCAGGATTTTGTAAACTGTGCTTCATGGGCCTGTGGTATTCAGTACAGCCATTTCAGTTTCTTCCCCCATGCTCTGGGAGTTAAACCACTGATTGTCACACAGAGGCTGAGACTGAAGGTCAAGCTTAAGAGTTGCTATCTCAAGGCTGGAGTTGGATACTGCTGCATTTGGTATCCCTGTGCATGGAGAGAGGGTGGGGTTAGACTGCTCTAAAATGGAATGACCCCTCCCTCTCTGTGAATGCTGCCAGTGCTCTTGTTTGCAGAAACTTTTTTTTTTTTTTTTAAACCATCATCCCTGGCAATGGCTTTTCTCTTCCTCCTGCTCCTCCTCCTCTTTCTGTTTTTACAGGTAACTTTGGCAACTGCCGTGGTTGGTGATTTAAGGTTATATTTTCAAATGGCCAATTTAAGAACTAAACAGCAAGTAGCCCAAGGCTAGATTCCAAAATGAAACTTTTCCCGATGAGAGTAGGCAATAAAGGACTTGGGAAATGGTCATGCTGGGTGTTCAAGGTGGCTGTAGTTTGGATGGTGAAGTGGAGCAATTGGAGAAAGGATGGGGTGTGAGGGAGAGGTGGTACTATGAGGAGAGAAACCACAAAAGGATGTAGTTTCCTATGTCAGAAACAGCACCTCTGGCTCTGTCATCCAGTCCATCGGTCTGTGGGTCTCTGGCTGATCAGATAGTGGGACGGAGAGTCAGTCTTGATATGAGTGACTAGGGACATTAGAAGAGGGTGCAAAGCTGGACTTGCAGGCCAAAGGTGTGGGCTCTGACTCTTGTGATGGCTGTTCCTGGGTGTGCAACTTTTTAAAGTAAATGTTCCCACCCACTGGTTAGTTCCTCAACATTGTTCTTATTGGTTTGAATGACATGTGACCTTGCCTGCCTCTCTGGATCCCTTCAGATGTGTGGCTTCAAGCCAAATGGGTCCCAGTGATACAAGGCTTCTAGGTCACTGAGACTGAGCGTTGACTGATCATCACCCCCAGAACCCCATCACCTCCCTTCTCAGGGATGGGTGGGGGTTTTGAAGGGCAGTGAAACTATACTTTTCCTCTTGCGGCCTGGGCCCAGCCAGGGGTGCTGGGGTGGAATCATGAATGGGATCACTACATACTAAAGGACAGGCCACCACTCTGACCACAAATTAGGCAGTTGGCTGGAGCTGGGATAGAGCTAGCATGTCACAAAAGAAATGAGGGGACTTGGTAACAGGAGGGTTGTTTGGGATTAGTAGCTTGTCTCAGGGGCACCTGGTAGTCTAGCTTAAGTTCTCTGTCCCTATACTTCTATGTGCCTGACTTGGGAGATTCTGCTTGGAGGAGGCTGGGAGCCAGAGGAAGTATTTCCCACACAGACACAGAGACAGGTAGCAAGGAAGGGGAGAGTGGAGCTTAGTGGGGGAAGAGGCTCCTCCTCTCAGTGGCACTGATGGAGAATGGCTTCAAGGACTGGTCTGGGGCCAGGTAGCAAGGCTGGGGCCAAAGAACTCATTGAGGAAGGACCTGAAGCACCAGGCAACAGGGAGGCTTTAGAGCACGGTGCTGATGGGAGCCTTAGGAGTGGAGGGGAGGGGAGAACTTGGTAGGAAGAGCCTTAAGTTAAAAGTGTCTCCTCCTGGCCTACAGACGCTTTTAGTAATCCCCTGTCAGGCAGGATGTATGAAGTGGTGGCAGCACTGGGCTCATGAATCCAGGGCAGGATCCTCTTTCCTCTGCTGAGGCTGGGGCTGGTGACCCTTTGCAGAAGTCTGTCTAGTCCTGAAGGAAGAGGCAAGTGCCAGGGGTGGAAGACTCAACAAGACTCACCTCTCCTCAGAAGTCCCCTCTCCCAGGCCCTGGCCTCAGCTTACCCTTCCTTCCTGCACTCTCTTGGGCTGGTGACATCTTGAGACAGTCCCAGCTGTCCTCTGCTGGATCTGACCATGTGCCTCAGATTCTGCCTTCCCAGGCTTCAGTCATGGGTTGACCTCTGAGTCTGGGCTGAGGTCAGAGTCCA